CTTTTCCAGAAGCCCCCGCTAAAAGATACAGGCTTTGCTGTCAGAGACAGAGCAGCCGTCCTCCTGTGGACTCTCCACCTTTTTATATAAAACACTTTGATGCGACTGACTTTGCTTTGTTCATAAAAGCTGCAGAGTTTCATGTTTGCATCAGTTTCAGCTGGTGATGTGTCATGTGATTGTTTTCAATAACAACAGTGAGCCCTGTTTCAAAGCGTTTGGGATTGAAATGAGAGTGTAACTCAAAAACAACTGAAAGCTACTTTTAAATTCAGTCCTATAAGTTACCTCAGGTGAATCTGCAGTGAATACATTTGGACGCATGTGTTTTTAATCGCCCTCTCACTAGTACTCGAGTCTAATTGTGCTATTGTTTGGTAGAGCACTGTGGTCTGGGGTGAAAAAGGTCCAAGCAGCTCGAATCTTTGAAAGACAGTCACAAAGGATTTATTGTGTGTGTCCTGGAGTGACCTCTCTCTCTCTCTCTCTCTCTCTCTCTCTCCTCTCTCTCTCTCTCTCTCTCTCTCTCTCTCTCTCTCTCTCTCTCTCTCTCTCTCTCTCTCTCTCTCTCTCTCTCTCTCTCCTCTCTCTCTCTCTCTCTCTCTCTAGTGTCTGCTGCGAGGAGCTGTTGGACACCATCTGGAGCTTGGATTGGCTCTGGTTGTCCCATGCCAAAAACAATACTCCCCTTCTATGAGTCCTGTCCAGTCTGCTGGCAATGCCCGTGTCTCGTCTCGATCAGGAGAAAGTTTTTTGAACACCAGAAACACGATAGTCAACCCTGATCTTCTCTGTTTAACTTTCTTTTGCCTGGGTTTGTCTGTGCATGTTAAAATGAGGTGTGAAGGAAGTCATTACGACAAGAACCAAATTTAAGTTTACACAAATTTCAAATTCACACTTTTCATAACTTGTGAATGATTTGGAAATGGGCTTGAAAAAAAGTTTGGCCCAACTAACTTACTAGCCTACATGAGACACATCCTATAATCTGAGTATACATCTTAAAACAACATGTGATGTTGAACGTTCTTTTCCGGACCTGGGCAAAGTGCGGCCCAGGGACCCTTTCCAGCCGACCCTTTCATAGCAGTCTGTTGCTTTTTTAAATTATTCAGCAGTCAAAACTCAATAAAGGTTTGTATGTTCTACCATGGCATGTTTCACCTTTACTCTCTCTCATTAATGAACAGGAGGAGCAGAATGAATACTACTACATTGTCTGACATCTGTGCCCAGTTTGACTTCGGAGTTTGTGCACAACTATTCACCCGCTGTTCCTCTGTCTGTTCCACAAACATATGGTTGAGACTCCCTGGACTGTGGACCTGACCCCTGTCAGAGTTTGTGGTTCTGTGACGCCCATCGAGACGATTGTTGCTGTTGTGATTTTTGGAGCCACAAAAATAAACAGAATTGAACATCTTTTGTGATAATAATGCACAAGCACATGAGTGGATCAATGTTGGATAAAATTCACTGCTGGTGTTCAACGAGACCTATAGCCACCTCACTTCACATGTAAACAGTCCAGTCTGGTCTGGAGTCGGACCGTGTGGGAGGACTGTGAGACTGAGGCCAAACCATGTCAGCTGTTGTCCTCCACTCGCCACAACAACTCCACACTGACAAAAGAAATCAGGAGAATAGTCAAAATACTCAAAAGATATTGAGTCGGTGTGCCCCTCACTTCATGTTGATTGTGGAGTGCATAGACCAGACCAAAAATCACTGTAGTCTGCCTATTTTTGCGACTGTCATTGCAAACCTTTGAATTAGACCTAAAGAAATACTATTTATTATTTATACTTTGCCGTGTGAATTACATTCATTTCTTTAGTAGAAAATATATGGATAAAAATGTATGATGGAACGAAAGTGGTGAAACACCTCTCCCTAGTGGTAGAGATGGGGAATGACACCCTGCTGTTGCTGTATTACAGTTGTAAAGAACATCATTTGACTTGACAAATGACATCAAGAATAATATTATTCTATAACTTTTTTCTCCACCCAATGATAGATAATATTAGACATTTTACACGTTATAAATATGTGAATCATGCTTCAGTCCTGGTTGAGACCTTCTTTTAACCTACTTCAGGTTTGATTTGGATCTGCTTCAGACCTGGTTCTGACCTTTAATCCTGGTTTAGTCCTGGTTTAGACCTGCTTCAAACCTGCTTCAAACCTTTTTCGGACTTTCTCAAACCTGCTTCAATCCTGCTTTAGACCTGCTTCAGTCCTGCTTCAGTCCTGCTTCAGACCCGCTTCGGACCGTCTTCAGACCTGGACGTCAAATTTCTGAACAATACATTCGAACAATACATTCAAACATTTAACGTTGTGATACATGTGTAAAACAATCTCAACAGCTGCCTAAAGTGTAATTTGTGGCCCATTTCACGTAATAACTTTCCAGATTGAGTTCATCAGCGGAGGTCACGAGATCTTCAGTTTAATCTCCGGCTCAGATGAGTTTCTATTATTAAAGTGGGAATTGGACACATTTGGCTGTTAACTGTAAATTTAGCTTGCATTGCTCAGCTGGAGCTCGATTCCTGCTCTCAGCTGACATAACTATCCAAACATCGCGCCATATTTCCCACGCTCCCTCTGTCCCCCACACTTGTCCCCTACATTTACAGCAGCAGGTGCACGTGTTTCACAGTGACCTTGACTCACAAAGTCCTTCTCCACCGTTGCTAAATGTATTCTATTTATTCCCAGCTGACAGAGTGCATTTAACGAGTCATATATGTAAATGTTATATGTTATATTCTACATGCAAAATGTACTGTTTAATGTCTACATTAAAACCATCTCTCATCAAAGATCCTGGTACTTTACAATCCCGTGTCATTTTACAATTTTGTCCCTTCATAATCACATTTGTCACATTAATCTGCACTGTTAAATGTCTAATGTGTGTATTTATATTTTAGAACTGTTTTAAAAAATGTTGTATGCATGCCTAGTTTATATATGTATTTATTTATATTAATTATTATCATTTATTAATATTATTTTGTTTTACTTTTTAAAAAAAAACTTGTGTGTATATGCCAAAGTAAATTCCTCGTTTGTGACTTCCTGTTACTTACAAAGGCAATAAAAATGATTCTGATTCTTGCCTAATTGCTACATGAGCTCCTGAATCCTGGACACTTTCTATACTGCAACCTGGCTTCCCACAAACCTTTCCCTACATCTTCTTTCATTTATTTTCTTACCATTGATTTAGGTAGTGCTCTCTTAAAGCTGCGGTACCTTTCAAACCAAAACATTTTTAACTATGTAATATAATCCATCCACTACAGTTTTACATGCATGTAGTTTGGCTTCTGTCACATCTTTAGATCCGTTTTTTCCATACAGAAAAGTTCAAAGGAAAAAATTCTTTCTAACAAGTATGCTAAATATGAACTAGACACTGTATAGGCTGACTTTAGGTAAACTGTTTTTGTTGGGACAAACAACTTTTTATTAACAAAAAAGGTAGGTAACCCAGCTTTAGGTTTTAGGGCTGGACCTGTCACTGAATGTCAGCTAGAATCAGTGAGCCTTAGAATTATTCTCTATTGTGCATGTTTTGTGCTAATGGGGGAAATCCAAAGGGCCGGTATAAACGGACCTGTTGGCCCCGCCATTACAGGAAAGTGATCCTCAATGTTTTATGCATATTCTCCTCATCATTTTAGCACAAACAAAGCTCACTTTACTCTTTTGGTTTGTGAACATAGTAATAGACATGTTTTTCATTTTGGTGTTTTCACTGTTCTACTCTGCCTTGGATGGAGGCCAATTTGGCAGCATCAGCATGGAGCGAAGAGCCGATTTATCAAGATCTAGAATATCTGCCATCTAAATTACTGCAACACTGTGTATAAGTGTCTGTATCTAATTCACATGATGCTGTTCATGCTTTGTCAGGAGTGCACAGTGTCTGACAACGTTTTACTTTTACTCCTTACTTTTAAACCCAAACATATTTACTTTACTCATTACAAAAGCTTGTATTACTGATACTTTTATTCAAATGTAACTTTTATTCTAGTAAATATACTTTCACCTAAAGCTGGAATAACTAACTTTGGAAAACTAACCACATCCTCCATGTAGATCCTCATTGTCAAAACAGTTTGATTCTATCGTTAGTTTTCACATGCATGTGTTTTGGCCTCTGTCACATCTTTTGAGCTTTTTCAGTGAAACATAGAAGACCACCTTCACTCATCTGAGTATGTGAAACAAGATAAAATATTTTGTAATGAGATAAAAATGGAAGGTCGTTGAACTAGCTGAAAAGATAATGAAATTTGGTAATAAAAAAACAAAACAGCAATGACTTAATTATCCCTCAAAATTACCAATTATTATTGTTTTCACTGAGAACTATGCCCTATACATAATTGTTGTATTTTTGTATGGAATACAATGCATTTATTTACTTATTTTATTTAGACTTTATCAAGGACTTAAATGGAAACATAGCTAATAATAATAATAATAATAATAATAATAATAAATAAATATAGTTATAAAAGAGAAGTATGTCTGTGTGTTTTTTTCAGTGAGAACAATGCGTCTCTGTAATATTGTCTGATTTGCTAGAAAAATTAATTAACACTAATAAAACAAAATGTATTTATGAAATAAAACAGTTAGGTACTCACAGTGGCCTGTGATATTGAAACATTAATATCACCAAAATAACGCTTGGGAGAATAATTGTCAAACTTCAGCCTAAACTCTTTGTGGCCAGAACTGTTTAAGTGATCAATGTTAGGTAACAAATGTGATTTTTGTTGTTGTCGTTGATCAAAAATAGCAGGATTACTACCACAACACATCATCAGTATTGTAAAACCAACCGGATGAAACCTAATGAAAGAATGAAACAGTGAATGGAACCAAACCCTTCCCCTCACTCTTCATGCATCAGCCTAATATAACACCACATATTTTCTCTCTCACTGACGGCTCTGCCCTCCTGACCCATGCCAGCGCTTGCCTTGACCCCTACACAAGTGCTGCCCTCGACCCCCTGCCACGGACGGCGTGCCTGGCATAGCTGCAGCGTGGCGTTGTTTATGGAGCGAGGTGTGCCAGAGAAGCACTGGAGCAGCTGCTGTGTAAACCTGCCCGTAAAGATGATACTCAGCGAGAGCAGGCGACCGGGAGCACCCAGGGGAGAGACTGGAAGTGAGAATGTGTCCCGTGTGCTGCGCGTTTGGGACGGGCTGGTGTTGATGATGTACAAACAGTATCCAGTGCGATGTGGATACACGGGATGCCTGAAGAGGTATGCCCGCCACGCAAGAACCAGGGGCAAGTCACTTCATGTGCGGGTGTTATTTACTATGGATACCAAACAGGGCTTCCTCAGATGTCGTGTAGAATTTATAGACACAATTTCACACGATGATGCAACGATTTATTAAAGCTGGAGTAAGTAAGTAAGAAATGTTTATTTATATAGCACATTTCACATACAATGGTCACCCAAAGCGCTTTACAAAGTTCAGAGTTCAGATATTGCACCAATCATTCCACACATGATGATGATGGAAGCGAGTCGCCGAACACACTGGACCATCAAAGCCTCCGACCAAACACCATCCATTCACTCTCTCATTTACATTCATACCTATTGTACAACATGTACTAGTAGTAGGAGATACCAGAGCACCCGGAGGAAACCTACGCAGACACGGTCATCACAGTGATCACGTCAAACAGTGAGTCACAGATCACAAAACGCTACTTTAACAAGACTTTTTCTGTTTGGCAAAAAATATGTATTTATTATTTAACACACTTTTCGGTCAGGAACCCCAAAACATATGCAAAATTCACCCAAGGGCCTCACTGTTGATTAAAATTGAACGCTGTAATAATATGTTTCAAATCATTCTGCCCCACAGCATAAACTCGTTCATTTCATTATTTGATCCATCCAACATGATTGAGATAAATCATTTTGTTCCCCCTGCTTATATTTCTCTCTGGGTGAATTTTTAGACATGTCAAGTTGTCCACATACACGTTTTGGACTATAAATTTGGTTTGCCCACACATTTTTGCCTATACCAATGGAATTCTTTGGTAACCCTATTTTAAAAGAAAGTTTAAAGGAGCAGTATTTAAAAATCTGGCCAAAAGTGTTACTGCAACCTCTCCCACTTTCCCTGACTTGGGTTGCCAGGTATGCAAACGAACCCAGCTGGAACCATAACATCTGAAAGGTACTATTATCAAAAACAAATATATAATCAAGACCTCGATAGAAATCCTTGTTTTAGTCCTTGTTTTGTCATCTTTTGTGACCTTCTTCAGCACTGCTGCCACATGTTACTTTACCAGTGAGATAAGTTCAACAAGATGAGTTCAACCAGGGATCACGGACTTTCTGATTGGTTAAGGGGTGGAGGGCGGGACATCGAAATGAAAACAATAACAAGATTTAGCGGCTGTAAATCCAATTTTGAAATCCAAATATCTGGGCTGAACTACTGTTATCAGTTAAAAAAGTATTTGAAAAGAGCATGGTTTATTAACGCCTTTTGACAGATTATAGGGCCATTTAATGATGACTTGACATGAAATTCTTACATATTGCTACTTTAACTAAAAAGTGATAGAATCGAAGACACAACCAGTGATTGAAATACATTTGTCTCCAAAACATTGAGGAGAGAGTTGTAAAATAGATGAGCGTTGGTCCGTGTCATTGACCAGAACGTGACACTGACCATGGAGTGTAAGAGGAAGCCTGTGAGAAACAATGCGGCCATAAAGACCATTAAAATGCACTTTGTAATACTAATAATAAGCCTCCATGGCACGCTGCTATTTTAGGACAAGTGGCTCTGGGAATAACAGGATATCCCTGTGTGTTTGTGTAGCTGCTCAGAGCACATCCAGAACACTTTCAGCCCTGATAACGTCTGTCACCAACACATTTTGGGATTTTGGCTTTTCTTTATAGTGACGTGCAGTTAGATGCCTGTTTTTGCCACCGAGTTGAGAAGTGGATCAGGTCAAGAGTCATGGGGGGCAAAGCTAGGGTCACAGCTGGTCCTGAGAAAATGCAGCTGAAAGTGAAGTGTCAAACAACTCAATGTGAGGTTTTTGCAAGAAGAGAAAAAGCCAACAAAAGAATTTGGCATTCCAACCAACTAACCAACAATATGACACAGCTAGATAAGATAAGGTAAGCTAAGAGACAAGAAATCATTTATTTGTCCCACAGTGGGGAAATTTCAAAGTTGCAGCGCACATACAAGACAGTAGTATGTGCGCTAGTAGACAGTATACAATATAGTAGCTGCTATGAATGAATGAATGAATGAATGAATGAATATTTTATTTAAGTGTCATGCACATATGTGCCCAGCCCACATGGGCTTATATGACACTATAAACATAACTTGGAAGACGACCATTTAAACAATATGTTCAATATACAATATACATTTTACATTTTCACAGAATATACATTTCACAGAAAAATCAAGAATCTGGATACAAAGCTTTCAATCTCATTGTCCAGGCTTTCTCCACATATCTTGCCAAACAAAAAATTTAATTTCTAAATAACCAACTCAACATATCACCTTCTGCCAACCAAAATAGATCAGGATTACTGCATTCGACTCTTTCAAACAAAGCTGTTCTTAAATCATTATACAATGGACAATAGAACATAAAGTGAAATTCATCCTCCACCACACATAGATCACAAACATTACAAAGTCTGTTCTCTTCAGGTACCCCTCTGTAACGACCCACCTCCACCTCTAGAGGCAGCACTCCTGCTCTGAGCTGAGCACACAGAGACCTCTGTCCTCTTTTCAAATTATATTTCACATAAATCTCTGTTGAAAAACATTCTTTAATCTGAATATAAGTTCTCAATTTCGGTTTTCTTAGCAATTAAATTTTCCACTGCTCTTTGTAATGATCAAATAGTATCTTCCTGTGGTTTGTTATTTTACACTGTAAATTATTCCAAAACAATGTTTGTGAATTTATTTTTGTGAATATTTGAAGGACCTCCTGAGACCAAGGACATTTATGAGTTTTGTCCCAATTAAAGACTTTCCTAGTGAGTCTCTCCTCCGGTAATTGAACCAGACGGTTCCAAAGTCTTAACATTTCAGCCCACTGTTTCACCACGCAGGGTTCCCAGCCCATGTCTCCCTCTATGGCTGCCTTGGGAGTGAACTTATGGACTCAAAGGAAATACCTCATAGCTCTGCTTTGGACAGAGTTGCTCTCTGCAGCATCCTGAAAACCCCATACTCCTGCAGCATAGAGAAAAACAGGAGCTACCATTGAGTCATACAGCTGAGTGAAAATAGTGAAGCGCAAATCAGGACATAATTTCATCTTACTGATAACTGCACCCAGAGCCCTCCCAGCAGAATCTGCTAGTACTCTTCTACCATCAGAAAAAATCATATTCTCATGAAAAACAAAACCAAGATACTTATAAGTTGCAGAATACATCAACAATGTTTGACCAAAATAAAATTCATACTCACTTTGACAAGCATTAGGCCTTCTAAAGTTAACTATTTGAGTCTTATCACAATTAATATCAAGTCTCCATTTAGTACACCAATCAATCAAAATATCTAACATTTTTTGCAAATTAATTTCATTCTCTGCAACCAAAACAATATCGTCAGCGTACAACAAAATGCTGAGATTCAAATACTCAATGTCTATTCCCAGGTTAGCTCTCTTGACTTCTTGGGCCAAATCATTAACGTAAATTGCAAATAGAGTGGGAGAGAGAATATCTCCTTGTTTCATACCAAATGGAGTAGAAAACCAATCCGTCCTCAAATCGTTCACCTGCACACAGGCAGCTGGTTGCTTATAGAGAGCTTTAATGGATTTAAAGAAATCGCCATCAATACCATACTTAAGGAGCTTATATTCCAAAAGGTCTCTGTTTATCCAATCAAAAGCTTTTTTGAAATCAACAAAACATACAAAGGTACATTTGCCTTCCTGCATTTGTGCTCGAACTACGGAGGACAGAACATAGATGTGATCTATGCATGCCCTGCCTTTCCTGAATCCATTCTGCTCATCCACCAATATTTGATTCATTTCTATAAATTCACAGAGCCGGTTATTCAGGATAGCAGAGAACACCTTGTAAACTGTACTTAACAAACTTATGCCTCTATAATTGAGAGGGACTCTAGGATCAGCTTGCGAGGACTTAGGAATAGGCTTTATAATAGATTTGTACCATCCTGATGGAATAATACCACTCTGAAAGCAATGTTTAAACAACCTGTACAGAGGATTCAACAACCTAGGACATCTGAGAACCTCATTAGACAATCCATCCAGTCCCACAGCTTTATGTGGTTTAATCTTTTCAATGACTTTCTTCACCTCCTCCAAAGTAATATCTCCATTTAACAAATCATTACAACAAGAAGGATAAAGATTTTCCTCAAGTAGTATTTTTGCACTACACATTTCTGTTAGAAACTGGTCATCAAACTGGTGGTAACTATTACAAGCAAACAGGTTTCTGTAATCTGTTTCCCACCGGTTTAAAACCTGATCAGTTTGGAATAAAGATTCCCCACTTTCAGTGACTATTCCAAATGGAATTGTCTTTTTTCTTTTAGGTCCAAGCTTATTGATTTCTCTCCAGAACTGTTGTGAGTTACTGCTTTGCAAGTGTTCCAACTGAAGGGCCTTCCCTCTCTTGTAACGTCTTTTATAAAATCTAAGTTTTTTATCAAAATTCATTTGGCAGCTTTTAAAGGTATTGTTTAACTCTCTCCTTAAAATCTGATCTTTACATTTCAAAAAGCTTTTCTCAGTCAAACGAAGACTCAACCATGCATGATTCTTAGCTAGCTGTAAATGCTTCAATATCAATAGATCTATTGTTGAGTTCTTTCAGAGATATTTTAGAATTCTTTCAGAGTTTTTCCAAAGTTGTTTCAGAGTTATTTTTAGACAGAAGGAAGACAGGGCAAGCCTTTTTTTTTTTAAACGACATTATGCCTCATAGCAAAGACGCCAACCCACAGATGTTGTCTTGTCCAAACAACAGAGTCGTCGTGACCTTAAAGGCCTTTAATATGTCTTAAAATAAGCAGGCATAAAGTGAGATGCTTCCCAAGCTGAAAGGACAAGGCTAAGGCACAGTAAATCGATCCGCATTGAAACGTGTCCTTCTTTTCTGCATGGTCTGATCACACAAAGTTGACATGCTTTGGGTTTATATGGGAAGCCCCAGAGGAAACCCATGACACAAGGACAAACATTGAAACTCGGCTCATAAAAGGCCTCTTGCCACGATCTCGCTGTGATTTGTGATTATGACTCAATAGATCTTTACTAGCGACAGCACAATT